ATAATAATAATAATAATAATAATAATAATAATAATAATAATAATAATAATAATAATAATAATAACAACGGTATTGACGATAATAATAGTCATGGTGTGCTACCGTATACTTGTACGATGCAAATATAGTATTATGCGTTTTTTGCTTACATCTGTATAAGTGTGTGTGTGTGTGTATGTGTGTGTATGTTATTATTATTAAATATACTTATTCACATATTGCATCGCTGGAAGGTGAATAATAAACAGGTATGTAGTCTTATTAGTCGTCGTTTCATCGTGTTTACGATAACCGAGCACGTTTTTTTTTTTTCGGTTCCCTTTTTCTTCATTGTTATATTTTCATCTTTCTGCGTAAAACGGGAACAATAAATACCAAATAAAAAAAAAAAAAAAAAATACACATACTGACTGAACCGTATCGCACACGTATTCTATATTTTTAAATATATACGAGTATATACCGTACTTATATGGTTGTACAGAATATGTCTATAGACGGCCGCCGTATGTTGTCAACGGAATTCACGTTGTCTATACCCAATATTATTATTATTGTTGTTATTATTATTATCACACCGTCGGTATAACCGATCAAATCTATGGCATTACCCTCTGTATTAGGTACTACTTAAGCCTACAATGCGAAATTTGTATTACGCTTACCATTTTGGCCTCAATGAGTTATCTATCCATTGGTTTTTAATATCATACTATAGAATGAAACGGCGTGGGTTGAATCTGATTTAAAAAAAGAACCAGATGGGCCTCGCTCTGCTGTACAGTAGGGGGTGGAGTGCATCTAGCAGGGCCGGCGCAACGGCAGTGCAACCGGTGCACCTGCACAGGGTCCCGCGGAAAACAAATCATTACTGAATAAATATTATAATTTAGAAAACATTACATTATTAATAAAAATATAATATTTTAAACTACAGATCCTAGCGAAAAGTCAAAAAAAAAAAAAATCGTTTTAAAATATATAATCAATAATAAATAATATAACATATTATTTTATAGTATACATTTATTTTATATACATAACTAAAAAATAAAGAGTATATATTAAATATTAATTGTTGTGTATTATTTTATTTCAACTATTTTACATGGGGTCCCGCAATTTGTATCGCCGGTCCTGGCACTTAGTATATAGGATAGGTTATTACAATGGATTTGTTAAATTTGAATGCAACGATAGGTATCATTGTACACGAATAACGATTCTGAACGGAGATGATTTGTTAGATATATATAGAAAAAATATTATATATATACATTATTATTATTATTATTATTATCAGTCTTCCAAAAATTTTCTATTTGGATACAATTTCTATATAAATATCCTATATAACTATATTTAATTAACAAAAAATGAGTCAAAACGGCTCTTATTATTTTATTAGAAAAAATCGAATATTTTAAGCGTTTTAAAAAAATGTAGTTTGCCAAAATGTGGTTTTGCGTAAAAATTCCCGTTTTTACGTAATTTTTTATGTTTTTTTTCGATGTTTTTAAAAAATGTTGAAAAAGTTTGATTTTTGACTAGCCTAAGTACCATTTAAATTCACTTTCCTTTCAGAAAAGTTGCTGTTTAAGAAAATCGAAGCATTTTTACTGCCCCAAAATGTGATGACAGACACAAAAAAAAAAAATAATAAAAATAAAAAAAACACATATCATTATAAAACCAATAGATTCCATCACTCCGATCAGAATCTAAATCTAAAAATAGAAATTTATGATTGCACATATGTTTTACATTTGATTTTTATTCGAATAAAAATTTACCATTAAAAACTCTAATAATGTCTACAAGGACCTGATCTGGACAACTGGGCAACTGGCAATTTTTGACACTTCAAAAGTCAACAATTATTGATAATATAACCCACTGTACTGATTTTTAATTACTGCAGTATAGAATTAATTTTTTTAACATAGTGTAGGATTCAAACTCGACTGAAATAGAATGCTTCGAATTATATAGTTGGCGTATCCATTTTGTTCTGAATATACTATAATGGTCTTAGGTTTTGATTAGAAAGTAAGCTTTGGAGAAAAATACAGGAATACGCATCAACGGTTAATCTTATTTATTAGTAAAAAGCGGAATTTTACAGTTGCATTATATAAATTGTAAAATATTGTGTCAAATACTCAGCGTATTACATAATGAGCGCTTTTTGTATTTAATAACACCTAATCGTAATCAAATATTATACATTTTTGGTTAATTACTGGTATTATGTATATTGTACATTGATCATTGTTATATTTATAGAGCCATAAATTTAAATCTGTTCGGTTCGTACGAAATTAATTTTTTTAATTTGCTCTTAAAATATATTTTTTTTTCGTATAAT